TTGTCTGGAGTCTAATTTCTTGAGTTCTTTGTATATATTGGATATTATCCCTCTATCAGATGTGGGATTGGTAAAGATCATTTCCCAATCTGTTGGTTGCCTTTTTGTCCTATTGACAGTGTCCTTTGCCTTACAAAAGCTTTGCAATTTTATGAGGTCCCATTTGTCAATTCTTGATCTTAGAGCATAAGCCATTGGTGTTCTATTCAGGAACTTTTCCCCTGTGCCCAAGTATTCAAGGTTCTTCCCCACCTTCTCTTGTACTAGTTTCAGTGTATCTGGTTTTATGTGGAAGTCCATGATCCACTTGGGCTTGAGCTTTGTACAAGGAGATAAGAATGGATCGATTTGCATTCTCCATGTTCTGTTATGCACACACACACACACATACACACACACACACGCAAAGTGACACATACAGAGTAAATAAATAATTTTAATTTGTTTCGTTGTGGTTTACATTACAAAGTATAATATCAACCTGGAGAGGCGGCTCAGCTATTAAGAGCACTTACTGCTTTTGCAGAAGACTAGGGTTTAGTTCCCAGCACCTATGTGGTGGCTTAGAACTGCCTATAATCCAAACTCAAGGGCATCTGACACCTCTTCTATCTTGTGTGGGCAAGTCCATGTTCATGGTGTATATACACTCAAGCAGGTTCACATGCATGCCCATAAATAAAAAGTAAATACTTTAAAAAGTATAGTGTCAATAAACATAGATTTTATAATCATTAATGTTGTCCTTTTAATGCTTCAGTTTTACTATTAAAATATAAGGCTACAGTCTCAGCAGCCTGGTCTAGTTGATAATGTCCATTTCTGTTGTATACCCAGCCTCATGTTTATTTTTTTCTCTCATAGGTTTTCCTCTTGATCCAAAGTGAGAAACTGAAAAATGATTACATTTACCTTAGTTGGTTAGCTCGCTGCTGTAAGTTTTCTTTTTCAACATCATGACATGAATTCTATTTTTCTTTCCATTATGTAATCTGTTTGGGAATCCCATTAAGCATTTTCTACACTTCTTTGTTTTCTGTAGGATGAGTAGACACTGATTAAGGGTTATTTATACTTCTCGGTGAGAACTGCCATGTGAATGTGATGTGTAACTGCCTGTGATTAATTCTACCATTCCACACTGACATACTGCTGCTACTGCAGAAAGATGTCAGGTTCTTAGCTTTATTAAAGCTTCCAGACTCTGCAGTGTCACTGGAGGGATGATGCTGTCACGCTGATGTTGCCTTTTTCATTTTTCAAGCCCCCAAAGTGGCAACATGTCAGAACATAATTTTTGTTCATTGAGAACCTTTAATAAGTCATATTTTTCTCTTTTCTCAGTTTTCTTGCACATATCAATTGTACATAGTGCTAGGTTTCAACAAGACAACTTCAAGTTTATCACATTCCTTGACCGTCTCCACACACATGCCCTCCCACAGTGTACTCCATTCCCATCTCCCTCTGACTTTCATAGCATATGGAGAAATGGTCTTGTGAAGCTGTAGAATGTAGAAGATCTGGGATCCAAAATGAGAGAAGAATTTGTCTAAGTTTTCATATGTTAATATAATATTCTCAAGTTGTACATCTTTCTTGAATATAATATCATGGTTCTTTATATCCAGTGTGTGTGTGTGTGTGTGTGTGTGTGTCTGTGTGTGTGATCTATTCATATGTTGGTGGGCATGTGGGCTAATTCCCCAGCTTGATTATTATGAATCGTGCAGAATAAACACAAGTGGGAAAGTGTCCATGGTGTAAAGACCTAGAATCATAGTATAGTTCTATTTTAGATAGTCGTGCTTTGTTTCGTGGTGCTGGGGTTCAGAGCTGGAGCCGTGCGTGAGAGGTGAGTGCCACATCACTCTGACCACACCCCGCTATTTAGAGATTTGGAGGAACTTTCACAGTTGTACCTATTGGAGTGACGTGTTTTCCCACCAGTGGTGTATAAAGGGCCCCTTCTCCCCACATTCTGCAATACTTTCTTGTTTGGTAGCCATTCTAACCGAGAAGACATGGAATCTCATGTGGTTCAATTTCGATTTCCCTGACTGCTAAGGATGTTGAACATTTTCACATGTTTATTGGTCATTATACTTTATATTTTGAAAACTGTTAATTTTATTACCAATTTAGTGGTTGTATTATTTAGATTTTGGTATTTTAGGTTCTGGGAGCTTTTTTTTCTATATTCTAGACACCAGATATAGCTAGACCAATATTTTTGCCCTTTCTGTTGGCTGCTTCTTAGATGTTTCCTAGGCTACACAGAAGCTATTTTATTTTATATACGAGTACACTGTTGCTGTCTTCACATACACCAGAAGAGGGCATCAGGTCCCATCTTGTGAGCCACCATGTAGTTGCTGGGAATTGAACTCATGACCTCTGGATGAGTATCCAGTGCTCTTAACTGCTGAGCCATCTCTCCAGGCCCACAAAAGCTTTTTAATTCATGAAATCCCATTTCTTAAGTCTTGGCCTCAGTTATGAGCTATTGGAGTGCTTTTGAGAAAGATCTTGCCTATGCCTATATATTGGAGTATTTTCCCCATGATTTCTTGTAACACTTTTAGACTTTCAGGTCTTAGGTTAAGGTAGAGTAAGAGATAGGGGTCTAATTTCACTCTTTTGTAAGTGGCTATCCACTTTCCTCAGCACTGTTTCTTGAAAAGGCTATATTTTTCCCTATTTATGTTTTGAAACCCTTGTCAATTCAGGTGGCTCTAACCATATAGATTGTGGGTTATATATTCTGTTCTATTAAGTTATATGTCTGCCTTTGTGCATGTACCTTTTTGTATTTACATGTGAATTTTAGCATTTTTTTCTGTTTCAGTAAGGAACATCATTGGAACTTTTGTGACAATTGCCTTGAATCTATATATTGTTTTTGGTAATAAAGCCGTTTTTATTTGGCTGACTCATGACTATAGGGACTCTTCCATTGTTCTAGTGTTTGTGTGTGTGTTAATTTTCATTGTCTATGTCTCTTCCTTCCATAGTTAGGTTTATTCCAAACCATTGTTGTATTGTCTTTAAAGCATTATAAATGGGTTTATTCCCCTGATTTCTTTCCTGGCAAGTTTGTTATTGGTATATAGAAAAACGACTGTTTTTTCCATGCTGATTTTTATATAGTAATACTTTGTAGAAAGTGTTCATTAGTTTTAAAAGTTTTCTGGTAGAATTTTTAGAGTTTCCAATATTTAAAATCATAAATCTGCAAGTAGGGATAATTTGACTACTCTTTTATTACTATTCTTTTGTTTCTCTTGCTTTATTGCTCTAGCTAAGACTTCAAGGAAATATTGAATAAAATTGTTGAATGTTTTAAAGGGTGGAGAAAATGGACACCTTGTATTATTCCTGGTTTTACTCGAAAGTCTTTGAGTTTCCCCATTTAACATAATGTTTACTGTAGGTTTTCTCTTTTGCTTATTCGCCATGCTGCTATGGTTTGTTTTTTCCTTGTCTTCATGGGTATGCATGTTTCTTTTCAGTGTGTATGATTCTTTCACCTTCCTCTATAGTTTTGTTTTAGTGAACATAAACTACCATGGCAAACTTTTCTTCAGTTATAAGCATATCTTTGCTAAGTATAGTAATCTGGGTTAGTAATTATTGGCTTTGAGAATTTGAAATATGTCATTCCATGAATTACTGACTTTTAGAACTTCTGTTGCAGAACTTTCTCATGTTTGATGGAATTGTGTTTACATGTGACTTCATGCTTCTCCCTTGAAACTTCTAATGTTTCTTTGGGCTCTGTTATGCTTAGTGTTTTAACTGTAACTTAGGACTCAGTCACTTAGGACTTAGTGACTTAGGAGCTTATTTTCTGGTCCTGTCTTCTTGGTGTTCTAAAAGCTTTGCCAGAGCCAGCCAGCCAGTCAACTTGGGAACCACAACTGGGGGAATGAGGCTGATCATAGCAAAGGCAGAAAGAAGATGCAAGAGACAGATATGGGAGGGCTGCTGGTCAATACCATGCCAGCAATGAATGTATTTTCTCAGTATCTTTTAAATGCAAGCAACACAAAGCATTGCCAATTCCAGAAAGTTAAACAATGACCACAAATGCTTATATGGGTTCACAGTATCTATGTTTGACTAAGGCTATTTCCTTACAGTTTCTCAAGGACATATGCATAAGTGAAGGAACTTGGTAGAATATAACTCATGTCTTAACTAAAAACAACAAATGTTGGCAGACTAATTTATGATTAATCATAAGCAAGAAGTCAGCCAAAGTTAACTCTGGATGTGCTCTCCACATGTCCCCCCTGTTTTATCTATACGAGCCAAAGCTGTCTCAGCTATTGATGCATAAAGACTGTACCTGTCTTAGGCATCCCCTCAAGAAGTATGAACCTTACCCGTCATTGGTACATGAATCCTAGCATTCATGCCCTGTCTTAGGTTGATCCACCTCTGAGATAATCTTGTCTTTTTTATTTATAAGAGCCTTACATCTTATCAGTCACAGAGCAGAAAGTTGTGTTTGTCTTAGGTTGCCATCCAAAATCCCATCATTGGCACAGGAATAATCATGTATTCGTGGTCTGTCTTAGGTTGAAAAGGTTTTTCAAGACAATCTTACCTGTCATTGACTAACAACTACTGCTAGGGAAAACACTGAAGCTTGAATTTATGTAACTCTGCTCTGACATCTGTAAAAGCTTGATGATTCCTCTCAAAAGAATATGTAATAGACATGCCATAAAGAGTGTCATAAAGCCAAGTCCTGCTACACCCAATAAGAGAGAAGTAAATGAGGACCATGAAGGAAAAACGGCCTGTAAGTTTTTCAGAATATCATTTGCAATGCTAGCAACACCAAAAGACAAAGGCTTTGAATTTCTTAAATCCACAACCTCCTTATGCAGGGCTAATAAATCTAAAGTAATATTAGTATTATGCCATATACCTTGAAGGTGCCTTTTTACTCTGGCCCAGTTATTCTGACTCTCATTATACATTTTGAAGTCATACAGATCCATCGATATTAAGCATGACATTCCAAATGGCTTCTACTTCCATTCCTTGTACCTCATCTCCTGTGATCTGCACTATGATAATATAATGTGTCAATTATTTGTTCTAGCCATCTATCCAAATCCTTTTGTATGCATTGGTTACATTTTCTGTAAGATGATTAATAAAACTAGATATTTGTACCTCTTGTGTTAAAGCTAATGCAGAAATAGTAGCACTGGCTGTAAGAATTATGAGAACAACATCACCAGCAATGATCATCAGCCTAACCATACATTTGCTCCTTGCCAGAGAATGATCTAGTTCTTCCAACATTTATAAGCAGAAAATCCCTTGGCATCCAAAATCCAAAAATTCAAAATAAAATATTGTAGTAGAGGAGTATATAACCCCCCCTTTTTTATAACTGAGATTTTAGGGCTCCATGGGATCATTCCTTTGTCTTTATTGTCTCTGTTTTATGCCCATGGATCATTATTAAGTCTTTTAATTATGTTCCATATATCTCATTTTCCTTCTATTAATACTTTATTTTTATTGTTATATAAATGCTCACTATATTAATCATGGTTCTCTAACAAAACAGAACTGAGAAAATGTGTACACACACACACATGCACACATACACTTGGTCAGCAGTGAGGGCAGGCCTGTGCGCAGGACTGAATGAATGGTGACTATACCCTTTAGCAAATTGGGAACTTCTAGAACTTAACTCAGTTTCAAAGATAAGTATATAAATGTTAAATATTTTAGGTTTGACCTAATTCTCGTAAGAAACCAGTTAGATGGCAACATTGCAAGCTTTCCACGTGAGAGGTATTTTACCAGTATTTTGTATATAAATCCAAGTCCATAGAATGGTACATTGCAGGCATTATTTCTTATACATTTAAAAAGCCTAAGCCTGGAGGCTGAAGTGATTGATGGCATAGTGGTTAAGAGTACAGGTTGATCTTGCAGAGGAACAGAATAAAGATCCAGGCACCCACCCAGGCAGCTCACAGCTTCCTGTTACTCCAGCTCCAGGGTATCCAGTGCCCTCTTTGGCCTTCAGGGGCTCAAACACATTCATACAAATAAAAATTAAGTTTAAAAATGCCAGGAATGTGAGCCACTCCTATAATTCCATCACTTGAGAGGCTCAAGGCTGGAGGTGAAGAACATCTTTGGTTAATATCCTGAGGCACTATTATAAATACTAACACAATCGTTTCCTTTTGCAGATATTATGAATAAGAAACCAAGACTAGCTTGGGAACTTTATCTCAAGATGGAAACCTCCGGCGAGTCCTTCAGCCTCTTACAGCTCATTGCCAATGACTGTTACAAGGTGAGTTTGGGTGACAGGAAAGGGAAACTTGAGGACCAGCATCATGTGGCATCAGCTAAATAATAGTTCTAGAGACTGCTGAGCTATTGGAAGGGATCCGCCAGAAGATCGTGTTTTGCCACAGCATGTGGACCTGGATGGTTGATCCACTTGTATTCACACATAGTAAGCTGTGCATGTTTCACACACCACCCTATATATGTGCTGGCTTACATTCTGTGAAGAAATGTGAAGACCCTGAGAAGAGGAAGAACACTTGGGAAGTGGGCAGAAAGATAAGGGATTATATGAGCCTGGAAGCTTCTAGCATCCATACAATCTGACCTACCAAGTTGACTGATTCAATCCAGCTTTTCTCAGTTTCTGACTGAATTGCTCTGCTTGGCCTCATACTAACTTTGGCAATATGTCCTAATCTTCTGGATCCTTTTCATTCACTGGCTCACTCTGTCTTCACTTGTGTCTAGCTTGTTATCTCTGCAGCCTATAAAACTTTCCCTGTAAGACTGACATACAGACACACTACACCACACTACCTGTGTCTAGCTCATTATTTCTCCCTGCACTTCTCTTTAATAGCCTCTCACTGATGTACTACTATTCTTGTGAGAGTTGGACATATCCTTTCTGACTCATTGTTAAATCTTTCTCTGATTCATCACTTTGTCTGCCTCTCAATTAGTTGTCATTTTCAAACATGGGTGCATCCTTCTACAAACTAACCTTACTTTCCATTTTAGGGATTAAATGTGTGTACTAAGGGCATGTCAGTATTCCAGCCAGATCAGACTGTAATCTAGGGTGTGTCTATATTCTGGCCAGATCGTCTTTGGATGTGATCCATTGCCGGAGCAGCCATGTTGCTGGATTAAAATTCCTCTGCATAAACCTTACGGAACTTGTCAGTGGCTGAGTAGTAGGCTGGAGGAGTAATCAAATCCACAGAGTGAAGAGGATCACCCAGTAATTTAGAGCCTTGAGAGCCAACTCGGGAAACCCACCTAGGCAGATTTCAGCTGTGCTCAGCATGCTCTGGGAAGCTAAGGAAATGTGTTGAGTCTTTGGTATAGATATCTGCAAAATGAATTAAGAGGCTATGTGCTTAGAATTGTCACAACCTAAGGAGTCTAAGAATTTAGGACAATAGGGGAAAGATTTTGAGTTGAATACGGTTTGGTTAGTGTAGTGTATTGAGGAAACTTAAAAAATACCTAATTTGCCAGGCAGTGGTGGCACACCTTTAATCTCAGCACTTGGGAGGCAGAGGCAGGCGGATTTCTGAGTTCAAGGCCAGCCTGGTCTACAGAGTGAGTTCCAGGACAGCCAGGGCTACACAGAGAAACCCTGTCAGTTTCTCACTAGAGTAGAATAGAATTAGAAGAAACAGCAAATGTCTTGATGACATCATAATTCAACAGTATTAGACAAAATGTTCTATCACTGAAAGTAAGGGCATGTGGCTTTAAATGAACCTCTGCATTTGAACTGTGGTTCTCTTGTTTTAGCTAGGAACTGAAATGTACCTAAATTGCTCCCACAGAAAGAAATTGTGCTTTTGCTTTATCCCATTCTGTTCTGTATTCCATATGTCTCATTCCTTCCCACCTCTTGACTAAACGTCAATACTACCACCATGCTTTCTTTTCTGCAGATGGGCCAGTTCTACTATTCAGCCAAAGCTTTCGATGTCCTAGAGAGGCTGGATCCCAACCCTGAATACTGGGAAGGCAAGAGGGGTGCCTGTGTGGGCATTTTCCAGATGATTTTAGCTGGGAGAGAACCCAAGTAAGTAAACAAATAGGCAGAGCTGCCTCTGTCCATCTGTCCCTGGTGCAGAAATTTTAAAGGTAGAAACACTGATGTTAGCATTGTCTATGTGATCATTTTCTTCCAGAAATGTCTTATTTTATGAAATCAAATGACTCTAACCATATGAGAGCCTCTAAATGCAGGGCAAGGTCTATATCTGGCCCTGGATGAACAGCCATTTCCATAGCAAATGCCTCTGACATTTCTGCTCTCTAAAAAGCCCTTGTGCTATCTAATTTAAGCCTCAAAGAAATAGAAATGGAGTAGACATGGTTGATAATTCTTTTATTGCTTCTGCTTTCTTGTATTCTGGGAAATGCTAAGGTATTTGATTATGTAAAACTAAGAGGATTATAGTTCTATGTGAATAAAAACTAAAATACTGGCCGGGCGTTGGTGGCGCACGCCTTTAATCCCAGCACTTGGGAGGCAGAGGCAGGCGGATTTCTGAGTTCGAGGCCAGCCTGGTCTACAGAGTGAGTTCCAGGACAGCCAGGGCTATACAGAGAAACCCTGTCTCGAAAAACCAAAAAAAAAAAAAAAAAAAAAAAAAAAAAAAAACTAAAATACTGAAAGTAAATTCCTAGCACTTGGGTACCTGAAGCAAAATAGTGGACTCAAGGCCAGCAAAGTCAACCTGGGCTAAAACTAATTCATTAATTTAGTGTTATAAAAATAGTTCCATGTGGTATATGTATTGCTTAATGCATATGGAGAGAAAACTGTAATAATTTGCAAGCAAATTATCAAAATGTACTTCCTGCTTTGTGCTTGTGTATAATCCTGAATCCCAGCACTTAGTCAGGTGCAGGAGGTTCCTCAGAGAGAAAAGGACTAGAAAGCAAGTCCACAAGGGGGGGCACATGCACAGGCAGTTGCTGAAGTTCTAATGAGACAACAGGGAAGCTTTAGCCTGCCTCCCCTAAAATCCAAGCTTTAATTATAATCAATTTTAACTTTGGGCTGGAGGTGGCTTGTGGTTAAGAGCATTTGCTGCTCAGTCATGAGGACTACGGTTTGAATCCCAGCACATGTGTCAGGTGCTCACCAACACCTGTAAGTTCAGCTCCAAGGCATCCGACACCTTCTTCTGTCCTTCTCGGGCACCTGCATAGTGCAAATACACTAATACATACATACACATGTTTGCATACACACATACATATGTACACACATAAAAGGATGCATGCATGCAAACATGAGTTTTTAAGTTAAAACATGTTTTAGTTAGTTAAAGTGTAAATGCTGGGTATTCACTAAATTTTGGTTCTTACTGCTTTTCTCATTTATATTATAAGTATATTTGAACTCTAGTATATTTAAACCCTTTTGAACAAATCTGTTGAAGAAGCGACCCATTGCTATGGCTTAGAAAACTAGCAGCTTTGTAATTGGCTTATGCCCAGTGGAAGATCCATGAACACAAATGCCTCTCTGGGATTTAGAACAATGCCATGAGATTGCCAGGTTTTCTTCTCTATTGTGAATTTGTTCTTTAAAACCATTCCTCAGAGAGACCCTCCGAGAAGTGCTACATTTGTTGAGAAGCACAGGAAACACCCAAGTGGAGTATATCATCAGGATCATGAAGAAGTGGGCCAAGGAGAACAGAGTGCCCATCTAAGCAGCCACTCCCAGGCCAGGACCAGCTTCCTCTCACATCAGATTGGAACTGTTTTCCTGCACTTGAATATGCGATCCAGGACCCTGTTTGATTGACATTTCCTTCCTTGTTCTTAGAGCATTAAGTTGAGTGGGTGGTATGTGTGGACTTGGCCATCAGGCAGCACAAGTCTCCTTGGTCTGCTGACACCCAATGTAATCTACTGGTGAAAGTACTCTGGGCTTCCCTGGTGCCTTTCTTCCAGAATCATTCTGAACACTCTGATGTAATTTACTGGGCTTTTAGGAAGAGATAATAGGTTTTTTTTTTTCCTCTTAACATTTCAGGACATTTTCTCCTAGCTGCAGTGACAAGTACCTTTATACTAAAGAATTGGCATCATTTGATCATATTCCATCATCCTGTACATTAGCCCATCCATGACTGAGTCCTGGGAGAAGTCTTCCCGAGCTGTGTGATTCTGAGGATAGCCATGAGGCCCTCTACCCAACGGCAGGTAGTAGTACACGGTCGGCTTGTAGGACCACTCTCTCAGTGAGTAAGGTGCTGCTTACGTAGCTTGTTACAGTGAGACAAGTTGAGTCTGTGGGTTTTGAAAAGGTGAGTGAAAGGAAAAACTTGGTATCTCTGAAGGTGTGCAAGCTTCAGAGTTGGGTCTCCCTTGTATTTTAGGAAACAAAGCCAGGGCAAGGTTCTTAGTATCTGCTGAATGAACAGCAATTTTGAACATAGGACTAGGAAAGTTTTAATGAAACATATATATGTAACATTTTTTTTTTTCTGAGACAGAGTTTCTCAGTGTAGCCCTTGCTATCATGGAACTCACTCTGTAGACCAGGCTGGCTTTGAACTCGTAGATCTGCCTGCCTCTGCCTCCCAAGTGCTGGGTTCAAGGGTGTGTGCCACCACTGCTCAGCATATACCAGTTTATATTGCACACACAGGAATACACCGTAGTAAGGATTTATTGATACAATTATAAAGCAGAATCCTTTGAAGAGACCTCCTAATGTCTAGCCTCTCCCTCGTACCTCAGCCTCGTGTCTCTGAGCTGTCATCACATAAACTTCTTTCTTCTACAACAAAGTATTGTCTGGCTTACATCCCACTTTGAGAAAACAGACTCATAGCTTTTTGTGTATCAGATTACCTATTTGTATGCTCTGTGCTTTTCTTCTGTAAGTCTGAGGTGTGCACTCTAGAACATACAGACCCATCCTCACAGAGCAGAGAGTGCACGAAGGAGGAGATGGAGGAATTTTTAGGAACACCACTAATTCTTCCTCCTGCCCCAGCCTCTTGCTGCAGATAGCAGTTGTGCACTAAAATGAGAGGGAAATCTGTCCAGAGTATAACAACTGAAGCAATAGGACCAGTGGCTGAACACAGCCTTCAACATTGGCCAGTTCCAAGGACTTCTTCAGCTCTACTTAGAAGATGGCCAGTGTGTCATCTTTTACATTAGGCTCAGATATGATTGGTCCAAAGCACAATCACAATACTAGTCTAACAGGACTGCAGGAAGCAAAGCTGCACCATTTCCTTATGCCAGAGCTTCTTGTTGTCTTGTTCTGGTGTTCCCACTTTTTTAGTAATACCTGGTTGTCTTTGTCAAAGGTACTAGGTGAATCAGATACAGCCAAACCTGCTATAGTTCTGTGAATCATTCTTATGAAACTTACTTTTGCTTTAAATACTTGGGAGCAGAAGAATGGGAAGGCAGATCACCTCCTGGGAACTGTTGACATCTTCCTGTAAAGCGCTGTTCAGTTCCAGCTCCTCATTTCTGAAAGACACTCACTCACAGTGATGTACTTCCCAATGAGAATTTCTGAGTTTACTATTCAGTAGTCTCTCTGACATTCTCCTTGACAGAAAGATATCTATTCCAAACAGCAGCATTTTAGATTACTTTTTAAGGTTTTTAATCTACATGCTTGAGACAGAAACAAAGGCTAGTTAAAGAGAAGCACATACAATTCTTTTAGGAGGTATAATTTTTTCTGATTGTCTTAACAGGGCGTTGAGGTTCATAACTGTGTTCTCTACAGATGACAGCCCAGAGAAGAAGGACCAGGCTGGGGAATATGTAATTTATAGTCTATAGTATCAATGTACTATTTAAAAGCAATCTGTAGTGTATCCTTACAAATGGAAAAATACTTTTACAATTATTTTTGTACTACAAAAGAATCACATACCCCTGTACTATATTCAAATTAAAATGTATTTTTTGGTTCTTTTAACATGTGTTCATGTTTGTGCAGCTGTGCTCACATGTGGAGGTTAGAGGTCAAGCTGGGTGTCTTATCTCTTACCACCTTATATTTTTAAAATATTTGTTATTATATGGATGTATATGGATATGTGTACATGATTGCAGGTCAGAAGAGGGCATCAGATCTCTTGGAGCTGAACCTCTAGGCAGTTGTGAGCTGCCAGATGTGAGTGGTGGGAACTAAACTGTAGTCTTCTGTGAGAATATTTGCTCTTATCCACTGAGCCATTCTCTAGCCCGTATGACCCTATTTTTTGAATCTGGATCTCTCACTGAAGCTGGATTTGCTCATTTGGCAGGACGGGCTGGCCCGCCTGACTCTGGGTTCCTCCTATAACCTCCTCCCTGAGTGCTAGGATTAGGGCACATGCTACCAGGCCTGGCTTCTTACATAAATGCTAAAGATCTGAACTCAGCTCCTTCCATATGCATACCAAGTACTTTGCTGATGGAGCCATCTATCCAATCCTATCATTGGATTCTCATCAGCTCTTCTGTTTCACATCGTAAGTACAGGGTTAGACATGTCATATATCACCTTCCTTCCCTAATCAAGAGTGAAGGCAGGAAAAAAAAAAAGGAGATAATGCCAAAGAAGCCTTTCCACAGAGGACCTAGTGATTCTTACCAAATCGCTGGGGTTGGCTCTTTGCTGATTGCAGTCTATTATGAAGTCGTATGACCATCGAATTGCACAGTGCTTCACACAGAACATGTGTCCAACTACTGTCTGATTAAATAACTGAACACACAACTGCTACAGCAAGGAGCTCATGAGATCCGACCTCATGCTGCCTGGTTCCCAATTATTGTATTGCATTTGAAAATGCCAAGATAGTACACAATCTGGGCCTGAAAGAAAGCCAGTCTAACAGAAGTACACGCAGGTTAACTCAGCCAGGCAGCCCATGTCATCAGCAGGAACAAAATATTAAGAACAGCAAGAAGGCAATGGTGGGGCTCTAGAAATGGCTGGGCAGTTAAGAGCACATATTGCTGTAGAGGACCCAAGTTCAGTTCCCAGCACTCACCACAGATAGCTCCCAGCTGCTTACAGTTCCAGGAGACCCAACACAGTCTTCTAACAACAGCTCTTATGTACACATGTGCCCATGTAGACACATGGTTATAGACATAATTACAATTAATCTCTTTAAAAAGACAATGGGATGGCCTGGAAAGATGATGGCTCGGCAATTAAGAGCACTTGACATTCTTCCAGAGATTCTGAATTTAATTCCCAGCAACCACATGGTGGCTCATGGTTATCTGTAATGAGATCTGATTCCCTCTTCTGATGTACATGAAGATAGAACATGCATATGTAAAATACATGAATAAGTAAATCTTTAAAACAGAGGTAATGGGGCTGGATGTTGTGGCTCATGTAGATTCCCAGCACTTAGGCAGAGTTGGGAAGATTAGGATTCCAAGGCCATCCTTGGCTATTTAGTGAAAAAGGAGCTTGCAGGGGAGATAGAGAAGAGAATACAAGAAGGTAATGGCGATGTTTCTAGACATGTAAATGAGGTATCTTCTGCTTCACTTGGGAGAACCAATCAGAATAAATCCCCAAAATCAACATGCAGCAAGATCCTGCCTCGTAGGATTATGTACCACATAGACAGCAGATATCCAAGTACACAGAAGCCAAATATCTCAAACTCTAAATTACACTTAGACAATTACCTCTCATTTCTCATCCTATAAAACACAAGGTTATATGCAGTTTATAGAAATGCTCAAACAGTGGTCCGGCCTATTTAGAAATGGTCCAAGAGCAGCAGAATCTGGGGCGTAGTGATGTACTTGCAACATCCCTTAACTCTAGAGCACACAATAAGTTGATCAGGAAACATCATCAGTTCACACGTATCTTGAATGTGTCATATAAGTTTGCACACTTGTAAGCACCAAAAACTTCACAAATAAAATCTAAATGTCTGATGTAAACCTAAGGGTTGCCCAGGGAGGTTTAGGGTAAGTTCAGGGGAGAGGGCGATAGGCTGTAGATACACTTTATCATATCTTATGTACAATCATACTCACACGCATGCACACACACACACACAGAGGAATGCACACATAGGAATGCACACATAGTTGATGTGACCATGGTTAGCTTAGAACTCACAGAGATCTGCCTGCTTTGCCTCCTGAATGCTAAAGTTACAGGTACCAGCCACCATGGTTGACTGCCTAGTTTGAGGCATGATTTATTTAAGTTATTTTTATTGTATCTTTTTCTTTTAGACAGAGTCTCCTGTAACCCTGTAGTAGAGGATGACCTTGAACTTTAAATCCTTTTACTTCCACCTCCCAAGTACTAGGATCACAGTGTGAGCCATCATTGCTGGTCATTTGGGTTCTTTAAGAAACAACATAGAGCCGGGCGGTGGTGGCGCATGCCTTTAATCCCAGCACTTGGGAGCTTGGGAGGCAGGGGCAGGCGGATGTCTGAGTTCAAGGCCAGCCTGGTCTACCGAGTGAGTTCCAGGACAGCCAGGGCTACACAGAGAAACCCTGTCTCAAAAAACCAAAAAGAGAAAAAAAGAACACAGAGCCAGGCATGATGGCACATGCCTTTAATCCTAGAACTCTGGAGGAAGCGGTAGGTGGCTCTTTGAGTTTGAGGCCAGCCTAGTCTACAGAGTAAATTCCAGGACAGCCAAGGGTCTGAGAGAAACCCTGTCTCAAAGAAAAGAAAGGAAGAAGAAACAACATGCATGGCCTTTACTTGTTAACTTCACAATACAGCTCAGCAATCCCATTCTTTTAGCTACTTGTCCAAGAGACCATCTATACAATCTCAC